TTAACCAATAAGAATCACCTTCACAGCTGAATCAATTATAGTCAGGTGAAAACAAATATTGTGAGATTTGTTTATTTCAATAACAGACCATTGATGTAAGACATACCTGTAAATCTATGGCTGCCTGGTATGAGATATCCAGTGAGAGTGGCAATGGAGCAACAGCTGGGTAATCTGGCAGTACAGCCAGAAGATCTGACACTTGACGAACAACTATAGCATATGCACGGGCTAACTGACTGGCAGTTGTAGACATGGCATTGCCTTGGTGATCAGGTGTGGCAGCAGCACCACTGGGTACACCAGGTGCACTGCGACGTAAAGTTGATGGGTCAATGTAAATTAAACCAGTACCTGAGGAATGAAATTTTGTTTAAAAATATTTAAGATTTACCAATACACAATGCAGGATGCCAACAAGGAATGGCATAAGAAATCTGTCATCTGGCATTGCTCTACCCCCTTAAAATAATTCAAATTTTGCATTACTGAACATGTTATTGACCATATATGCTATGCATTATGGGAGATAATCTCCTATTGTATATGATTGAAAACTAGTATCACTCTGGAAACCAAATTGTATGTCTATTTTTGAAATTATTTCACAATGTTAAATTATCACCGGGCAAAATTTTGAGTTATGAATAACTGATCTCACAATAGGAATCAGTGTAAAAATTACAATTTGGACCATTTTCCATGATAATTTGGATGCTAGTATCTCGAAAAATCATCCATTTTTTTTTTCATTTTCAGTATTTTGATGGTATGAACTCATAGTGAAAGTATGACTATATATCTATCTATATATAGATATATAATCTATTATAAGACATATAATCTTCAATTCGGCTCAAGTTTTTTTGCATCTGCTGACATTTTCGAATTTATAAATATAACTAAGATGCGGCAAAGCATCTGACAAGTAACACTTACTGGTTGTGGCTGTGGTCGTTGTTGGATTTGGAGCTCGAGAATTTCTCATCGCCCACTGAAGCGAATGAGGAGCTTGAGTGGTTCTGTTACCATGGCTAATGTTGCTAGGGCGCTCCAGCTGTTCATCAATGAACTCAGTTTCATCATTATCATCGTCTTCATCCATTTCCTCTAACTCACTCTCTCCTTGGTTTGAAGAGGAATCTTCTTCTGAAAAGAACGCTGTCACAGATCCTGCACCTATAATGGACATAGCAAAGTTTTACACTTTGGGTTTTGATGCAAACTGCACAAAATAAATACTGGATGATTCTGAAAATATGTTGCAACTGATCTAAATACTGTAAATGATAATGTAAATGAATTGTGTTCAATAAGGTGCTTCATTCTATCGTAAAATAAGAGTTCTTGCTATTCATTATAAATTACAAAGTATATTACCATGTTCAGATGTCACATACAAAATGATTTTATTGTATACAAGATATATTATTTATATTTTTAACTTTCAAAAAAAATATATAGATACAATGCTTGACAAAGAAATAACTCGTTATGGTGATGATGCAGTTATGACTGATAATTTATATAAAGATTAACTTTATATAACTACAAAGATCTATTCTATGAATGGTAAAATGGCGGGTTTGACATCTATGCAGACCATAAGAGTCAATACTAGTAATTTACAGACAGATGCCTTGGTAAGCATCATTGGTATTCTAGATAGCTGTATCCAGTAACATTTCTACAATTGGTGACAATTGTATTTTAATGTGAATATATCACTGTATTTATTGTAAACCACTTTTCACAAGAACTGGTTTTCAAAAACTTTGCAAGTCAAAGGAAATCACAAAATATTACAGCAGGTACCATTTCATTAGGGTTTTTAACACAAGGAACTTTCACAACTGTCCTTATACTATCAAATTGTCAGTGGTTTACTGTCTTCACGATAGACAAGTAGAATAACGCACTATGTGAAAATCACAAGATCAGTGACATTTTCTGAGAAAAGCGATTCTTCACTGGTAAAACAGGTTACAAGTTCATGGCAGATGTCAAACCCAGAATCACACATTACAAAAACAAACCATGTCTTAGGGGTCTTAGTTTGGAATGGTAATGTTGTGAGTCAAGAGAAACACACCTGCTTCGGATCCTGCAGTTGCCGCAGTAACAGCACTACGACGACCACTGGCATTATCTTGACTAACGTTATCATGATCTTGGTCATGATCTTGATTGCTATGGTTACTTTCGCTGTCACTTTCACTCTCTGCTAATAAATCTAAGTCCATGTCACTGTCATTGCCACCTACAAAGACCAGTCAACAATTTCAGTATTCATTCTGCTACATGTGGCATTAAAATGTCACACCTGTACAAACACTACAATACTTGTACTACATACATATTACAGTAGCAGCTATTTATTGTACTACTACGTTATCATTGGAATTAAAGCAATATTGTCGCTGCGCACCACCCATTCAAAATTTGTGCATTATAAACAAACAATCCATTTTATGACATGAGAATACGACTGCGGTAAAGTGAAATAGGTGAAAGTTGCTTGGACTGATAAATATAATACAGTGACCTAAGACACAATTTCGGTGGGTAGTTGGATGGCTCCCAAAAATTCTATTCAATCACGAGGCCCCTTGGTAAGTCAAGACCCCGATAAGTCACGGTTTTTGCTTGGACCGGACTTCCGCAACATAGCAAGGGGCCACTGTATAATAAAAGTTGTAGTTGGTAAATGTAGTCCTTTGTAATTATTCAAAATAACCAGACGTTTTGGGCAAATCACCTATTTAGGACCATTTAGGTTTCTTTCAATAACTGAAAAAGATCACGATAAATAACTACCACATAAATCACAATAGTGATACTGTAATACTATATTGTATGTACTAATGATGCTATCACTACTCAGACAGGGTCAAAGGTCAGCAATACATGACATAACTACTTTAAAGTAACACAGTTTCAGTTTTATAAATATCATACTTTCTGGTTAGCACAAAGTGTGTTTAATTATAAGAATCTCAAAGACAAAACGTCAGTTCTATTTGGCAGTAATCACATAACTTTTAAACTCTTGGAGTTGACACATTTGGTGTTCTGTTATCTGTACTGCTTCTTGTTTTGATGGAAAGGGTTCAGAAAGAAGATTAACCATAGTACAAGCAGAGTTATGTCCATGATTGTGTATTTGCTCTATTAGAAGCGCATCTTAAATATAGAAGCTCACACATGCCAAAAATTGCTTTTATTTATTGAATCATTACAATTTCTGACTTATTTTGACGATAGACTCTTGTCCGTTAATTACATAAGCTAATACAGCAAATACTGTATTGTGTTTCAACTAATGAAATATAGCACGAGTATTTCCACAAGTTATATTAAAAACACAAATTTAATTACCTTCTTCATGTTCCTGTTCATCATGGTGACTTTCACGATCTTGGTCATCACCCTGGCCATCACTATGACGATCATGATCATCTTGGTTGTCATGGTCACCCTCATCATGTTGTTCCATTTCACCAACAACTCCCTCAACTACTTCAACCTAGAGGAGACAACAAAACGAATATAATAATGCTGGCCAAATCGATGTTTGATGTGATTTTTTTAAAGACGAGACACAACTACGTGATATTGTAATCAATAACCCAATGATCTATGTATCAATCTCAACTGCATTCAAAAACCAATTTTATCAACAATTATTCCCCAACCAAAAGACTGACTAAAATCTACAGTTCATTCAATTTAAATTATTATTTAAATCTGGTTACCTCTTCAACATCAGCAGACACTATATCATCTTCATCTCTGTCTCTCCTATCAACCACATTAACACTATGTCTATTCTGTGAAGGACCAGCAGCTGAATGTGGTAGGTAGTGACGGTTGCTACGTGTCACCTGCACTGATCCAGATTCTCGAAGTGGTAAAGGCTCGGCAGAAAATAATTCTTCGCTTCCCTATCGATGAAATACAAACAAATGATTCACGTCAGTATTATCCACACCTTTCGAGGTACTGTAAAATACATTATTTTAGCTGGAATTAATTTTTGCTGAAAAGGCATTTTTAGTGC